GAGTGGTCCTCTGCTTCACCACCTAATGTCAATCATCGTATTCTATATTCTAAAATATCTTGTGTTTTCTGAGATTTTTTTTTTATTACACTTTGCACATTTATCAAGACATTAAACATATTTTATTGTTTACAGGATAAGCACGAGAGGAAGTATTTTGGTTTTCACCAAGGTCCATACAAGACCTTACAATTCACAGAAGAAAAAAAAAATTACTAAAATAAATTAAAAGTCACTTGATTTCAAGTGTGAACAAAAGGTCTTGCACGCTCCATCCTGCTCCGAGAAGTGATGTCTTGGATTTTGTATTCATTTTGCTCTTGCACACAGCAATCGCACCAATTTTACAAGTAAGACAATGCCTCTCAATGCTTCTGCCCCGTTTCAAAAGGACACTTTGTGAGATAATGATATTAGGCAAATTAGCACGGATATGAAGGGAGGTGCCAAGCCGGTTCATGACAATGCTCTGATCATCTCTTTTGTTGCTGCTTGTCTAAGTCTTTAAATGAGGGACTGAATGGGAATAAATCTCATTAGGATATTATTTGAGAGCCGTGCATGCTGTTCATTTTATAGAAGCGTTAGACTTTTAGATTGAGATCACAAAGAAATGCTAGTAAAATATGAATGAGCGTTTATTTTAAACCACCATTATCATAATTATAAGACACCACGTGGAGAACATATTGTTATTCTAAGATAGGGTTGAGTAATAACAATAACTCCATGAACATGGAGATTAGATGTCTTTAAAATGCCATGCATTTCATATTCCATCTTTCATCTCTTCCTAACCAGCTTGGAAAAAGACTATAAAAAGACTTGCTGTAGTGATTCTCTGACTGCTGCTTGAATTTATGAAGCAGGATTCAGGTTGAATCTCTCACAGTTGCAGCCTGCAGTGTGTTACCTGAATTTCCTCCAGTGGCTGCCGATGCAGCTGCAGCCTATAAATAGGTCCACCCCAGACAGGCGGAGGGAGGAGTGCATTGGTTAACCCCTGAGACCCAGTCCTAATCTCACCCCAATAACAGGCAGCATCATTAGACAGATGGCTGGACAATAAGGATAATAAGGATCTTGGAATTATCACATCTCAAGAGAGCGCCTTCAAACTCCCTCCATTGTCAGCTACCTGACATGGACACTGCCACCATGCCAAGGAGAAGTAGCTCACTCTCTGCCACCCTTTCCCGTCTTTTCACATCTCCAGATTGCCGTGTGTTGGTTGCCTCCGTGTGCCTCATATGCATTGCCTGGCCTGCATTCAACAAAGCAGTTGCAGCAAAGCTTTGCTTCCCCAACGGTGCTTTTCTGCAATCAAAGAGTATTCATCTCCCTCTAGTCTTGCCCTCCCTCTTGTACAGCCGTTTTGGCACAGTTTGGCTCTCTTTTTCCCCTCCCACTCTCTCCCATTTGTATTCCTTCCATAGTCAGTCATTTTATATCACAAACAGGTCCCCTTGTGGAGATAGGGAGACACCCACTGATGTGCAGATTCTTTCAGATTTATTACACAGAGGTGTACGGGTCAGTCTTAATTAAGAAGGAGGGATAGATAAAGAGAGGTTGCCACAGAGATGACCTGTGTGTAGCAGAAATCCACTGTTGTCCTTGTGGCTTCCAGACAACCAGAAATCTAACACCTGCCTCATCCACCAGGTTTTTCAGCGAGAGGATTGAAGCGACTAATGCTTGTTGGATGCGATGGACTGTGAAACAGGAGACAGCTAGATAATGTCTCCAACTCACCTCAGTACTTCTGGGCCAGCGGAGCGCTTTTGCATCTGTTTATGGAGCTGTGTACCTCTTAAGTCAACTGCAAAGTGTTTGGATGGATGGGGAGGGTTTGTAAACTTGCTGATCTGTGAAAAAAAGCACATCGTCATGTTTTTTTTCCCGCCTATTAGTAATGTGATTTCTCTTTCACTGTCAATTGATGAGATGGGAAATACATTACTTTGAAAAACTGATGTGAATGCCACATGTAGTCTTCATTTGCTCTGAACCAATGATTAAACTAACGCAATCCTAAAAACGCTACAAATATCCAATCCCTTTTCAAGAGATGAGCCTATAGCTCTCGTATCTTCTTCAGGTCTTCATTGTTTTTTTGTTGTTGTTTTTTTCACTACACTTCCGGGAGATCACTTGGCAATTAGACACGGATGTCTTTTTCTCCTGTGTTTGAGTTCCCGGCTGTGGAATGCCTAGTCTTTTTCAGCTCTGCTAGCTAAGATTATTCCTGCCATTGGAAAATGTTTCACTTAGTGTAAATAAAAGGATCTATTCTGAAAATGACCTTACGGCGGACGCTGGGTACTGCATCTAAGATGTCTGCTACAATGGATACAATGGTATATTATTGGATGTAATCAAGCTTAGCTCACAAATTAATACAGCAGGTCAGTCTTACGAAAGGTTGGTGTCATCTTAGACCTGACCAGCACCCACATGAGGACTTTGAACTTCTACAATGTGAGCACAGAGATGTAACTACAAAGAAGTGATGCGGTTCTAGTTCAAATGTCAGAGGAGCTTTTATAAAGGTCCATTGGATAATTGCACTGACTGCCTTGCTTTTTCTTTCTTCCCATTGTTTGGGTACAGAAGGCTTGCTTAACAAAGCAGCCGGATGTCGTTGTTGCATGCTGCTAAAGTTAACATCTATTTGTATTATTTCATGTATTAGCGAGCATGAGACGCGTTGACAAGGTGAGCAGACTAAATATTTCTGTTACCTGCTAACGAGCTGAAATGTCGTGAACTCAGAATCGATGAAACGTGTCGGTGCTGTAAAGTCACACAGTCAGTTGTTCACAGCCACTGTTGCCTGAGGGCTGAACACTTCAATGGCTGTTTGAGGTCAGCTGGAAGGCTACCGTTGATTTGCAGAACGCGTGTGTGTCAACAACGCATGTGCACGCACACACACACACTTACACACACACACGTACGTGACATGCAATGTTGGCTGTCCAGTTGCAAAAAAAAATAAAAAATGCAGCTTTTGCAAAGCTTTTTGTGCAGAGTATCCTAGTTTGATGTGGTTCTGTTTTGCATTTGAAAACTCGGGTATACAGATGCCAAATGTGGACGTAAACAGCTGCTCACATCTTCATGATGCATAAACCTGAAACTTAATTTGACTTTAAGTGGCTGTTCTGCTGAAAGACTCAGGGCAGCTCAAAAAAACGGAAAAAAAAACACAAGCAAGGAAATAATGAGCATCCATAAAAATGATTTGACTTAGTGTCTGACTTTATTTGTGTATACTTAGTGGTAGCAAATTACTTTGTGAGTGACACGGACATAAGCAGATGTGTTTTGAAGATTGCAAATAGAAATGAATAAAATCCTTTTGAATTATATTTGACTTAGCTTGCTCAAGCACTATTCCTGTGTGAAATTGAGAAAGATAACGAGTAACTGTAAATGAACCATTCCAATTCCATTGACCGTTTTGCCACAGACTTTATAGATATCTTTATAAATGCTTGCCCCATACTGTACTAATTTATAATGTGTATCACTTTATGTCTCTGCGACATCTCATTATTAATCCAGTGAAAACCGTGCTGCCTCTCAGCTTTCCATATAGGTGTCATACATCAAGGAAGTGAAGGGGTGGTATTGCTTTTAAGCTCTGCCAAGTCGTTGTCACACAAGGTGTTGTAAAGCCATGTCAGACAGAAATGCAGCTCAACTCCCTGGTGATGTTTCTAAAAGGTCCATTACTGTAACTACAGTGGATAGCCCAACTTTCAAACATGGCTTTGCTTTTAGAGGCTGACCCTTTGCTGTGGCCGCCCCGTGTTCTGCAGCTCTAAAAGAAATGAAGCTACATCTTTTCCTGGGTGTCTTCATCCAGCAGTGATGGGAACTGATATTAAAAAATGAACAGGAGGCCACAATACTCTCTCAGGTCCACGACAGGGGTGTCAAATGTTTCTTCACAAAACTCTAAATGTGCTCTACTGTTGGAATGCTATAGACAAAAAGGCTTGCAAGCAGGCATGCTGACCTTTTGATATTCTAAATCTGTAAAAAAAAAATGCTCAAAAGCCTCCTTCTTATTAGTTACAGGTGATTTATTTCCACGCTCCTGCTCTTGGTTGTCTCAGCATTGTCAACTCCCTGTGCGGTACCTCTTAGCAAACTAAGCCAGAAGCAGTGTGCTTTCTCCAGAGGCGAAGAGGTTATACGAGTCACCTCACATTCACCGGGAACAATTGTTTGCTTCTGTAAATACCATTTGGCTTTGTCTCTTCATGGGGCGATGTGTACATTATACAGGCTAATCATGGAACGCTTGGGCGCGCTGTTTACCTCACTGAAGGGATTGGATTGGATCAGAAGGATAGCATCTTCACCGGCAAACAGAAGAAGGATCCCTGGCCCACCAACAATTTCCTTCTTCAAAGCAGCATTAGTGGCTCCATTAAAATCCTGTCACCCTTCTTTTCTTTATGACTGTCTGTGGCTTCTGAGGAGAGGAGAAATCACAATCATTGAAATGCTAAGTGACTGCAACACTCCTGCGGATATTATAAAGGAAAGAACTACTCCGTCAACTGCCATGCACACACAAAAATAAGGATGAGACCCCCCCCCTACGTCTGCAGTATCTCGACACAAGCCATTACCTCTGCAGAAAGCTTGACACATACAGTACATAACACCCTGCTTTGTCAGTCTTCATTAAGAGTTAACCATGTGCACGAACACACACCGGCAGCTCCCTCAGAGATAGGCTCGCTGATGTTATCATGTCAGCAGGTTTTCAATCCCTTTCTTTTCGACAGTCTAAGGGATGAGCTTATCGTGGCTGCAAATGAATCAATGAGGGTAATTGCAAGCAGGAGTGCTATCTACACTCCAGGCCCTGGACAACAGTTTATACATAGGAGGAGCTCTGGGGGGCAGAAAGGGTAGACCCTGTCCCATCCATCATTAGAGAAATCAACTCATTAATGCTCTCTCTTTTTGCTTCATAGGTCACAGATGGAGGGACCATCAAGCAGAAAATCTTCACCTACGACGCTATGTTTAATACCAATTACTCTCACATGGAGGACTACCGCAGGCGCGAAGATCTCGTGTACCAATCAACCGTCCGGTGAGCCTCGAAATCAATACTGCATACTTGCTTAACTCTGCTCGTACCGTGTTACATGCTTTTGCTCCACTCATGAATTAGTTGAACTAGTGAATTGCAACATTTTACATGTATTGTATAATCAAACAACCTCTTAGTACTGTGATAAATGCACCGTGATGAACTCCTACTCAGTGCTACACAACTTCATTCCCAGCCATCTGCTGCTGGTCAGACCAGGCCAGACTGGAGTGACCGGGCAAAGGGGTCAGTGCATTATTACATGAGGACAGGAGGCATCAGCGGGACTCTAATCAGCAACTCTGCTCAGGATAAAGAGTTCAGTGTTAAAGATTTAGCTCACATCTGGCCATGCTGGTCCTTATTCCCTGCATATACCGCAGGTAGCACAGCCCTGCTCGGGCATATATAGAGGCTCACCCATCCACCAACGTGTCTGTGATCCCAACACAGCACAGCCACGCTGTGCATGCATAAACAGGTTTCACTGAGCGAGAGTAGTAGGACGAGGAGTCAGCTGGCTTTGGTTGGCTTGATTACATTACATTCTGGGGACTGTCTTCTGTTACCCCGGGCCCCAAAAATACGGCTGGCAGCTCTCTGCCCATCTCATCATTTCTTGCTCCCTCTGCTCTGGCTCTCCCTCCCCCTTGTACAGATACCCCTGTCTGAACAACACAAAGGAAGTACTGGCCGTACATCGCACCTACGACTTAATTTAAAAACCAGAATGCTTCCGTCTTTACGTTATGATCCTACTTTCATCGTTCTGTTTCGTCTTATCTTTGTCCTGCTGCTTTTCGTGGATTCCGCTCGTGTACGTTTCTACCTCTTTGTGTGTTTATTTTCACTTTTTTTCCCCTCTTTCCCTCTTTTTTTTTTTCTTCCTCATGTGTGGTGTAGCTGCCCAGCTGAGGATGATTTATCTGGACAATCCTACTATCCCTTTGGGAGAGTATAGGCATCAACACAATGGAATGGCGTACACACTTACATGCACATGGACATGGGAACATGAATGCCCACACAAAGAGAATACATAACTCCCCACGTCCAGACACCCACCCCCACGTAAACGCACACACGCACACACACACACACACACACACACACGGAGAGAGGAAGTGAGAGAAAGTCTAGTACCAAAGGGAAAGGAGGAATTCAAAAGAGTCTGCATCAGAAACAGAAACAGCTACCTTCACTGACCTGTATCCCGATCTGTATCAGAATGCTTAACCCGGTTTAGTCAAACAGAGAGAAATGTGCACTGCTGCCACTGTCACCATTCTTCCAGTCAAGAAAAAAATCCCTACAACTGGTCACGGTCCCATATTCATGGAGTAACACAGAAGCGCAACAGAAATGCAAAAAGCTGAATTTTTACATGGTATAATCTCCTATTTCCACCTGAGAATGGTAAGGCTTCTGTACAAAGCCTCAGCAGTCTGACAAATCCACTTATACGGCCTAAAATAAATGCCTCGATATTCTGTATCTTTTATAAAATGCAGAGCATTTTGTTGAAGACTATAATTTTTAGCTTTTACTTTTTGTAGAGTGCTTTCCCTTCACAGCAGTATGTGATTATTGTGCTACAATAAAGTAACGGTAATTTTTCTCCTCACATGCCAGCTTTCAATTATTAGACCATTTCAAGAGTGATATTGATTTCATCTAAGTCTTGACAGCTTTTGACAATCTTTCAAAGACTGGAAGCAGCTGGTACTTTCGCTGTATTTAAGTGCCAACGCATAGAGTTATAATAAGATTAATGAAAGATTTAGCATGTAGACGATGGCACTTACGTTTGGAGGACCTCCAGTATACAAACTCAAATCACAAGAGCAGGAGTACGACACAAAAGATGAATGTAGCACATTGAGGGCATATGTAGGTTTCGTAGTTTCACTGGTACAGACTTTAAGCATATGGTTTTGTGTTTGTGTGCAATTTCTTTCCCTTTCAGTGAATGGGACTTCAGAGCTTCTGTCATCAATGAAAAGAGATTTCTTTTAGGGCTATTCAGGCCTTTGCCCACCACGTCTGTATCTTGGTAAGGAATTGTCGCATGTAAAAAAAAACAATCATGACCTCAAGTTGTGCCATTAAAAAAATGTTGGAATAGGTTTGATATTCAGAAATTTGACAGTCAATCAAAACCATCAGAACCACCGTACACCTGACGACCGTCATCCAAAAACACTTTGCACTTTATGAGAAGCAAAGAAAATACAGAGATGCAAAATTGAAAAATCAATTGTGGCAGATGATATATTCAGTTTCCTCTTACGAATTTTGCAACAAATAGAATATTAAAACAGACTCCGTGTACAAGGTGTCTGTGCGTATCAATTTGAATTTTTTTGGATGACGGATTATAGAAATGAATACGCACAATACAGACTTAGTGTGCAAAAGCCTTTACTCTTGTTCTGGTAATGTCTCCATGTTTTCTACATTTCATCACTGAGCTATATCTTCTTTGCATTTGTGTGCATTTGAATTCATGAATGCAATCGGGGTAGCAAACAACAGAACTCGAGCTTTGTGGACAAGAACAGAAAGATGGGCTACATCAGCACTTACTATAATGTAACCAGCCAGCTCAAAGCCAATCGCACCTCCCTTGGCACTCAGAGACTCACAGCATTATCCTCGTCATTTTGTTTCATGCTCATTCTAAAACATGGATGACTACAACGCCCTCTTTGCATCCCGTCCTCCAGGCAATTTGCCTGCGCTTTCCATCGAGTGTGCACTGATGTACAGTCGCCAGTCTTGACCCATTCAACCGTAATGCTTCGGGCCAGAAAGAGTATCAGACAATGTGCTAGTTAATTTGATGCAGAGATCGGCTGGATGAGCTATCAAGACGGCGCTCTGTCAAGACTGCTCTTTTTCACTCTCCATCTAGGCAGTTGCATTTGCCCGCATTTGTAGGCAGGAAGAGTTCTGCAGAAAGGCCTACATAACAGGAAAGCGCTTCCAGATGCAACTCCTGGGGGACAATCGATCTCTCTTTGCGGTGTGCTGTTTTTGATGCTCCTCCATGGGGGCCCATTGCTATCGATCTCCTCCGTGTATGTGATGCTTTCTGGTGTACAGGGGAGAGTTTGTAGTGTGTTTAATGTGGTTTTCTGGAAATTGTTTGTTTATTCAATTACCTATTCCCTTGCTTGCGTAATAATTAATCCTTGTGGTCGTAAAAAAAAAAATTAAAATCAGTCATGAGTCGCTAAGAATATTTATGAAATGATGTATTGATGTATTTCCAGCAAATATTGACATACTAAAGGGTCTAAATTACATATGTTAAGTGTAAACGGTCACATGACCAGAGATGTTTACTTCCTGGCTGCACCATGACAAGAAGATGGCTGCATCAAGGCTCACAAACAAAAGGTTATTAAAGTATCTTTACATAAAGATAGGATGGATATTTTTGGTACACATCATCTTTAAGTATCAAGTATTGATGTGTAAGTATGTTCAACTGCTTGTTAATGCAAATGTATAACCAGCCAATCATGTGGCAACTCAATGCATTTAGGCATGTAGACATGGTAAAGACAATCTGTTGAAGTTCAAACCAAGCATCAGAATGGGGAATAAAGGTGATGTAAGTGACTTTGAACGTGGCATTGTTGGTGGTACCAGACGGGCTGTTTTATGTATTTCAGAAACATCTGATCTGCTGGGATTTTCAGGCAAAACTATTTCTAGGGTTTACAAAGGTCCTAAAAGGGGAAAACATCCACTGAGTGGAAGTTGTCTGCAGATGAGAGAGCAGTCAGGACGGCATCAGCAACTCAAATAAATAATCAAATAACCACTTATTACAACCAGGTTATGCAGAAGAGCATCTTTGAATGCACAACCCATTCAACTTTGAAGCAGATGGGCTACGGCAGCAAAAGACCACACCGAGGCTACAATAATCATGTGCTCTCCAAAATTGAACAACAAAAGTTCCGAAAAACATAGTCTGGTCTGATGACGATCGATTTCTGCTGCCACATTCAGATGGTCGGGTCAGAATTTGTCAGAAACAACATGAAAGGATTTATCAGCTCAAACCAGTCTGACCATTCTGCTCTCACCTCTGCCATCAACGAGGCATTTTCGCCCACAGAACTGCCGCTCACTGGATATTTTCTCTTATTCAGACCATTCTCTGTGAAACCTAGAGATGGTTGTGTGTGAAAAAACTCAAACCATGGCCCCAACAACTAAGCCACATTCAAACTCACTTCAATCACCTTTCTTCACCATTCTGATACTAGGGTTAAACTTCAGCGAAAGGCCTTTTACATGTCTCCATACATAAATGCATTGAGGTGTTGCCACGTAACGAGCAGTTGAGCAAGTGTATCAAATGAATTTGCCCGTTCCAGTAAGAGAGTTTTAAATGTGTTGATTACCTACGCAGGGGTATATAAGAATGTTGATGGCTGCATGCTAGTAGAAATATGTCAATCCTATTTATAAATGTCTGCTCACAATTGTGACCACAGTGATAATGTGTAAACACCTTTTTTTACCTACCTATCCATGAGAATTAAGTGATGCATGATTTGGATATTTTGATATCTGGGAAAAATTCAGAATCAAATAGGTAGGTACCAGTTACGTTATAATAATAAGTTTAGTTTGCAATGCTGTGGAAAAGGTTAGCAATTTTTGTTTTATGTTTTTAGCATCTACCTTGGTTTGTGTCATTGCAATTCAGCTTTTTAGAACTTATTAAAGACGTCCATAATTTCAAAAGAAAGTTGAAGACAAAAGGATTCATTGAAAAATGAGAAAATTATCAAAAAGGAGGCGTAAAGGGAAGAAGAATAACAGAAGCGGGATTGGAAGTGGAAGATAACGAGGGAATTCTCTGGTAATATGTAGACTGGAATCATGTGGTGTGCTGTTTTTGTTACTGTGGACAAATACAGTGCTAGTATACTTTAGTTAGTGCAGGACTCAAAACACCCGTAAAAAGTTTTCTTAAGTGCTCTGAAAACTGCTATTTACTGAGTAAAGTCACATGCTTATAACTGTATGGCACAGTCAGTGCTAGACCTGCTTTATATGGATAATAAAAGCCAGAACCATAACAAAAAACTAATCTTTATAATGTTGTATATCATGTTTTTTTTTTTTCAACTATTCCTCTCAAATGGTGATTTAATTCCAATTAACATCATCATTGGCTCACCCATTAATAGTGAATGGGAGACAGCTGAAAAAAGAATAGCTTGAGTGCTGTCAGAGTAACATGCTCCCTTTTTGTGAACAGATTCTCAATGGATTAGCACCTCTCAAATACATGGCTTCAAAGATTAGAGCAGGTGTTAAAAAATTAACTCGACCAGTCTTAATAATTAATAGAAGTCTCAATGTTAGGAGTACAACCTTTCCTGTTCTTCCTCCCTGAATTCTGATGGATATGTCTTGCTGTAAAACTGGTGGAGAATTCAGAAGCAGGCAGCCACTCAGAAATGATGTGGTTGGGTTTGTTTTTTTTTTGTGGCCTCCTCACCCTTCTTCCGGCAATAATTCCATGCCTTGAATTGTCTTATCTCCAGCTTCCTTTCCCTGCACTTGTCTTGGTTTGAATCCATAAATGCAGCACTCAGGATTGTGGACAACAGAACTACGGCTTTGTTTGTAAAAACAAAGCAATGGGCTACATCAGCGTTTGCTATAATGTAGCCAGCCAAGACGAAGCCAATTACCTACCCCCACCCGCCACCATGGAGAGATTCACTGTGCTATTCTCATCATTTTGCAGTGCGGAGAAAAAGAAAACACTCACTTGTTTTATGCGTATCCCTCGAGGGAGCGCTGGTGGAGAAACCTCACTTTATATCTTGGGGTGCTCACTCTTTTTCATACATACTTACATTTGTTCAAACATTTGTTCACGATTGCTTCGTTCAGCAAAACTTTACTTCCTTGCACTGACGGCTATGGCAAACATGGGTTTTATTGATAATCCCAATTATCTCTTTGTGAGTCAGGGCAGCAAATAATCTTAGTCAGGTTTGTATTTCTTTTTTCAAATATTGAGATTTCAAACAATTGCAGAGAACCAATCAAACACATAACACACACATCTTTGTCTCATCCGCAGAGTAACGCGCCACTTTAATTCCACTGCTTTTCGCGGTTACTAGAAATATCTATATTTTTTAAAATAAAATAACGCAATACCAATTTACAATGAAATGTAAAATGGATTCATACTTTTGTCTTGATCGTAGCAGACAAAGGCATTCTATTCTATTAATAGGATTTTTAACGGATTATGATGTCAGTTAGTCACTAGCATGGCATCTCTCATTTGATGAGCAGCAATTCTGGCTTTTCAGTACCGCATCGCCCAGGTAAGAGGAGCAACACAAGTCGGGGGGGGGGGGGGAGAGAGCGAGAGAGAGAAACTACTCACAGGTGTGTTGAATGTCCTGATTTTTCGTCGAGGTGCTGCATCATCAAGGCAACCTAAAAGTGTTGCAGAATGATGTCGCTGCTGTTTATCTTCTACCTGTATGTCATCGCCGCTACATCAGTGTGCGCATCTGCTTTTATGCCTGTTCTAGTTTCTATTTGACTTCTAGATTATTCATTTATTGATCAGGTTAATCAGTGCAGGCTGGTCCCACACTGTGCCACTGCAGCACTAAACTAATTTAGTGTGCATTACTAAGAAAAGTGAAGCAGATAGTGGAAAATGTACTTCCCCAAGTAACTAATGGCATTTTTTTTACAGTAGAGAGATAGAGATAGATAGATATATACTTTATTCATCCCCAGGGGCAAATTTGTATGTTACAGCAGCAAGGATATACTTCTGCAAACGAAGTAACAGAGTAAATAAAAATATTAAGTATTAAAAAGTGCACAATATATACACTAAAATAAGAGTAGGACATATTAAATATAAAATTGTAATTGACAATACATTCAATTAAAATATTCAATTACTTTTGAGGGTTTTAGATGTAACTAATTAACACTGCTCATTAGTTGGGCGAAAGCTGTTTGACGGACTCTTTACATACGTTTCTATGGTCTAAACTTCCCAGCACAAATACATAAAGACTATTAAGTAATCAGAGTTCAAAGATACAACAAATCAAACAAAAGTATGTTGGAAGGGGAAAGTAAATGTATGGATTTAAACTTTTCACACGCAACACGAGGAACAAGCCAAATTTACTCCGACGTTATCCTCATTTTCATCTGAAGTGCCAAAGCCTTGCTCAAGGGTAATTGATGATAGTTGTTGAGCCAGGAGATGCAGCATCTACTGTGGAAAGATGTTTGTTGGCGCACAGATTTGACTGCTCTCCAAAAGAGTGATCTCATCTCCTACACACACACACACAGCTGAACTCTCACACACACACACACACACAGCTGAACTCATTAAAGCCCTGCCGCTGTTCCAACATAGTTCCCCGTCTGAAACACCGGAGCGGCAAGGACAATTGTTCCTGTTTCGTGGGTATAAATCACACGGGCTAAATGTGACTAGTAGTGTCTCACTTTGATCATCACTGGTGACACATTAGCCAAGTGCTGAATACAGATTGCGCTCCCTTTTTCAAAAACAGCCTGATCTCACAGAAATACGTGGAATGACGACGACCTCTTAAGGGCCCATTATGTGATGCGTTCAAATTTCGTGTCCGCACAATGGAAACAATGCCAATGGAAAGTCAATTAGGATGCTTTACTCATGGTGGACAAACACATTCCCAGATTGAATAGAAATGTGTTTTGATCAAAGTCAAATGCAAAGGGAAGAGGTTGGGCGAGAGGGGACACGGGACTTACCCCCAGGAGATCGTTGTTCATGGTTTTTGTTGTAATTCCTTCATGAAAAAGTTGTTCAGAAACTTACATTGCGCAATTTCTAGATAGCTGTAAATCCTCTGATTATGGCTAAGTTCTTCCTATTTTACAGGGTTTTACGGATTTAATGTATAACTTGTTTTTAGTCTTTTACATTTTATGTATTTTATGTCTTTATTTCTACATTGCTGTAACAAGCCCTCTTTTCAGTCTTCATCTGAATCCAAATTATTGTGGCCATTTACCTGTTAAAAAGAATAAAACATACCTTAAAAGATCTGCTGACAAATCTTAACAAATCTATAAAAAAAGTTGCTCATTCCAATTGACCTGGTGATTCGGACAAAGAACATCCTCCATGTCACAGTTTCTTTTTTTAACTAGAATTAAGATGAAAACTAGTTTTAAAACATAACAGAAATGCACAACAAGCCACTCATCTGAGTTCTCTGTAGCAGGTTTGTGCCTCCTGTGAGACTTAGCAATAGCACTGAAAACTAATTCAACAAATGAATAGTAGCACTGACAGGAAACAGTAATAACAATGAACTGACCAGGAGAATTGAAAGACATCCAGTTAAGATTTGATGACATTTACATTCTCACTAGAAAATAACAAGAGGAAGAACATATTCCAACTTCTGTATTCTTTATTGAAAGCATACAGATCGAAATAATGAAGATGGACAGTACAATGATACCGTATCAGTAAGACTTTATATTCATGATCATAATTGGGCTCAACATTTAACCAGCTGGTCTCATGTGAGCTTCGTATAATTTAGTCTGTCTGTGAGAGCTGATGCAGCTCAGAAATAGCAGGTTTGGAATCAAAGAGGTGTTCTGTTCGAATTCAATCTGCATCTTTTAAGTAGTGCATGTATGAATTATAAGCCTTTGTTTTTGTGTGACTTCTCTGCTGTGGCAAGAAATGTTTCAGTAAACATCATTGAATCTTTAATCAGTCTTTTCCTGAGACTTTAGTTTGGAGGCTTTAGATTATCCAAAAGTGTTAAATGAACAAATTTGTACCGTATGCTGTAACTATTTTTAAATTTTTTTTGTATTTCTTTAACAAATTTGAATGATGATAAAATGATGTCTTTATTAGTAATAAATGATAGAGATGACTGTTACATATTGGACCTTTAGAAGTTTTAAATGCAAATATCATTAAAATGACTTCCTAATAATAATAATATATAATTGATAAACCTGATACTAATGAACTTAGTTCATGATTTATTCATCATTGTTTTCATTGTTATGATTGTTTACTAGGAGCTTCTAAAAGTTCAAAGCAGAATCAATATACAAAGACACCAAGACACAAAGTGCTTTTCCAACACAACAATGTTGTCTTTCACTATGATATTTGAAATGTCTCACTGTCGGCGTGTGTGATGCTTCAAAATTCTACAGAAGCTTTTTGAATAAGTCATTAAAATCATATCAATCAATGTTAATGCTCACCAATACACTTCAAATGCTTTGTTTTTGCATCAGCGTGTCAATATTACTAAAATGCGGAGATTATTATCAACTCATATACTCTTGTATTTTACAGGCTCCCGGAGGTACGGATCTCAGACAACGGACCTTACGAATGCCATGTGGGCATCTACGACCGGGCAACGCGGGAGAAGGTTGTCCTGGCTTCAGGGAATGTTTTTCTCACTGTTATGTGTGAGTACCATTACTGCTCTTCAGGAAATATCCGCTTAGCGGTGTCTGCATATTGAATTCAATATGTTTCTGGTGGGGCATGGTTTGCATCTAGAGGGATCCTTCAAAGTCATAGGTTTGGACAAGTAGGACAGAGATGGAAGACCTGGATCCTGTGCAGGCCTGCAGCAGGAGACAAGGTTGTCTAGATTACTCAAAAAAGTGTTATGTTTCTAGCTTTATGTGAGTTGCCAGAGGGGTGAGGTTTTATAACTGGTGTACTAGAAGTTGGATATGCTGTTTTTCCAAAATGTAACAAGTAATTTTGTTGAGGAAAAAAGTGTTTTGAGCAATGCAGAAAGCATCATTGAAGTATATATATATCTGATACTCGTATTAAAAATCAGCAAGTGAAGCTTCACTACCTCGCTTAATACGGATGGAATCAATATTTTTGAAAATGTATCAAATGACAATGTGACAACGTGAACGAGGTTGCTCATAGTCATTAACTTGTATAAGAGAATCTCAGTTTCACTCAGATTTATAACGAGTTTTAGCTCATTGTTTAGCTGTCCAGCCCTGTTTTGGTTCACTCCCATAGCGCTCATAAAGTCGTTATTTGTCCAGAGCAGACAGCTGTTTTCATTGAAAAAGCCTGGCACCAAACAGCAGACCGACGAGTTAACGACTGTTGGGAACGAAAAGGAGCGTGTTTGAGTTATCAGTTAAAAACTAAATTATTGACCTCAATAGAATTATTAACGATTATTAATAATCACGGGGCACCACCCTGCGAATAGGGACCAATAACCAAACGATAAACTAAGTCTCATAATTGGTGTTCACTCACAACGTCAATAGTCAAAGTACTATTCCACATTCAGAGTGAAAGTGAAGGTGTAGAGTACGAGCACAGGCCACATATCCAGCTATTATCACAATACACATGCGCAAAGTAATCATCCCTGGGTTCGTCCGATGAGCAGCGCTCCACCAAACTACCTCAGAGATTCGCAGTTAAGTGTGAAATTGTTTCTGGTGGGGGTTTGGTGCTTATCTAACTCCAATCAGGCTGAACTGCAGAATAGGCAGGCCCAGATTCCTTTGTTCAAAGCACATGGCGAAGCACATAGTCAGATCCCAACATGACTAACTGGTCAACGTAGTTGAGCATTTAGCAGCTACAGATCCGGATATATCCTTTAGGAAAGACCAAATACAGAGCTAAACCAGAGTGAAAATTAGACTTACATTCTCAAAGTGGTTAAGAAACACAACTGCAAATAAATATCGCGGGGGCGGCAGGCTTAGGGAGGGTAAACCTCCAAAGGGAGGCGTCCAGGAGGCATCCTGATCAGAGTCCCGAACCACATCAGTTGACCCTTTTCGACGCAAAGGAACAGCGGCTCTACTCCAAGTTTCCTTTGGATGTCGGAGTTCCTCACCCTATCTCTAAGGCTGACCCAGCCAGCCTACGAAGGATATATCTGCACGCGCTCCTCATCTATGTACTCTTCACTCTCATTTGCGGTGTTGAAGTAGGGCAGACTCTAGCATTCTTGTTGGGATAAAAGGAAGGTTTAATTAACTTAATTGTTCCAGTACTGGTGATCAGCTGTGTTACACACGCCTGGTATGAATTACAGAACGCCCACCAGCTCTTTCTGCCGCACGTCCATCATTCTGTGTAAAACCATTGGAAAAAAGACACGCTACTCGGATGGATGTTGGCTGAGAGAAGAAAACAATGGCACTACAGACAACAAGTGCAATAATCACCCAATGAGTCCCAAAGATATTTTACACAGAGGTTGATACAGTATTAATTATTATTATCTGTTTGCTGTCTCAACCGTGGCTTCCTTTTTTCCTGCTGTCATGATTTTCTGTGTATTGTGGGATGTGTATTTCAATGTCTTTTCATATTTGTAGTGTATTGTGTTTTTTTGATACTGAAAGATGTATATTTTAATTTCACTGTACATGTAGTAACCCAACTAGGGACTAGAGTTAAACATTAGCAATAGCTGTAAACTTTCTGTGCAGCATATCACTTTCATGCTTTGCATTGGAATTATGTGAGATGTCATCATCCCCATGAAGTAGAAATTCTAAATTTTGCGGACCAATAGGCCTTCGGCGTTTGAACGATTGATTCAATTTCAGTGGTTATCTGGATGTAGAAAGTCTGCCATTGCTTCCTTCAGCAACGAACCTAGCAGAAATAGACTTGTCTCCAAATCCTAAGGGTGTGTAAGCAGGGTCAAGAAATCGATCCAATTGGAAATTCTATTTGATGTAAAAATGGTGTTGATTTGCTGTAACAGCGTGTTCAGCGTTGGAGGAGGTAGACAGTCTCCTCTACATTTCCTGGATTTACATTTTTTGACAAAACACGTTACTTTGCTTGTGGTGTGTCTTTCTGTTCATCTGTCAATCACGTGGACTTAATACTGATGAGTCTTTGCTTTCCTTCAAACCTTATTGCCTTTGTGATAAAACTGTTACCATTATCGGTGACCATGATATCTCATTCAATCACGAGAGGACGTTGTGCGCCTGTAGCCTATTGCTCAGTCTGTGCTGTAATTATTGTATTTAATTCCCCCTAACGACAGCTGCTTCTCTTGCCTCTGATGTATCAATTCCAGCAGCAGAGACATGCTGTTCTCCATGTGCTCCTATGGCTAATTAGCAATGGTGAAATTTTTCAGTGGAACACCAGAGAGAGACTCCGTTTGACAATATTTCTCCATTATCACATTTTGGGCCTCTGAGAACTGCCTGTGGTTTTCACCTTTGGGGGGGGGGGGGGGGTTTCGACTTACATTTTTTTTTTTGACCAAGCCCTTCACTCTCTTCTGTTCTATGTGATGACCAATCTCATGCCTTAGTTTGAGGGCTCCCCCACAATGTCGTCAGTGACAGACTTTATCAATGGTCAGGGATTTACTCAGTTAACAGTTTCTTGTTTCAGCGTTGGGTGGGAAGAAGTGAACGATGTCGTCGTGGGATAGTTGGAGCACCCTAACTCAGCTGGGTCTTAAATCACCACTCCACAAGAGAGGAAAAAGAATGGCCTCGGGGCGTTGTGGCTAATTGCCGTCTAAACTGAAACAGAATTATTCATAACCTATTAGTGTGTCAAGTTCAGTGGGAAGTAAAGTAAAAAGTAGAGAGGAGAAAGAAAGAAAATTAGAGGAAAAAAAAGTTAATTAATAGGAAGCGTATTTAAATTTTTTAAAAGGGCTTCATAAATAAGAATTATCATTTTAATGAATCCCCTGCCAAGAAATTCAATCATCCAGTTTTAAAAGGCTAAACCCTGAACTCTTGGTACCTCGGCTACTGTCCTTCACTCTTTGGAAAGTTTGCTTTTCTTCTTGCAATACATGAGCATATGTTGACTTTATTAAGCCTGAGGGCCAGAGTCATTCTATTGCCGTGGTTACACTGGTCTTTTCAACGTGGCTTTTGTGATCAGATGCGCAGCTTTGGACCTCAGCAGTATCTGTATATCTGTGTCTTCCAGTGGCGGGCCGTCAGGGCCTGCAAGGCCTTCTCTGCTGGCCTAAACAGAATCACAAAGCTATATCTATTTTATAATTTAATAATTTTTCTTAAATACACTACATGTATTATAATTTATAAAAATATTTTTCCCATTATCTTATTTTCTCAATGCACAGCTACTGTCTTCCTCAGTTGCTCTGCTTCCAGTGCAGCTTGTTTTAAGTAGAGCTTTTATCCAATCAGATTTCACCTCTGTGTCTCTAGGTAAGAAGAGAGGCCCAGGCCTGCAGACGGAGGCCTGCATCCATTTGCAGTTTAAGTGAACGGGGACGATATTGTTGATTGTCATATTCTTCAACCAATCAGATCTTTAGTTTGACATGTTGGGCGTAGTCTTTGACATATCAGAGCCTGCTCGCCGGCCTATAATGACGTCAGCATTAGTGCAGCTCAGTGTCTGCTGCGAGGTGCAGAGTGCGCTGTGATTGGTCAGTGGGCGAGCACGTGACTATCGTGAAACGAAGCTTAACAGCAGAGGCATGTCGGGTAGTGAATCTCATCACGTGATGCAGCTCAGCCAATCAAATATGGGCATTCTGACTGAGTGAGATGCACCATGACACAGGAGACTGAGACGAGGAAAGACACTGCAGAGCAGTACATACAATGCTCAAGTAGTGAAAGTAAAATCATAAGACGATCTCTTTGGGCTGCGACTTGTCATTAAGGAGTGATGGTGGGTCCCACAGCCAGACCAGCTGAGAACCACTGTCCTCCATGAGCGCAGAAAACATTATATTTTCCTGAATATAAGCTTCTGCATTTTCCAGATGCTCTAGTACTATTCAAACGTATTACAAGTCTCGTACCGAATGGTACGTACATTTAATACGTACATAGTTACAGCCTTAGAAACTGATAATAACTGTGGCGCCATCATGTGGTTATAAGGTGGTATTTCAGCTGCAGGACAACAGTGAAGGCCTAGGTATAAAATGCACGGCCCGCCACTGGTGTCTACAGTTGGCAATTCAATGCGTCCTGCCTGATCAAATAGTGTTCGGATATATTTTGTGCTCAAAGAAGCGGCTGCAAAACGGTGGATGAAGACGTTTCACAATAAAAGCCCCCAGTTACCTTTGCTGCTTACTCTTCCTCCCTGCAGTAATCATGTTTTATTGAAGAATAGCTGCAAAGGAAGATTGCGCCCACATGCTGTCCACACCTAACTGACATCCAAACTCAATGCGAACCAGGCCACCTCGGCATGCACAGTAGTATGGCGGATCAGATCCCAATGTGAGTCAGATCTGAACTCTGAGCGTACGGACTCGACAGTTAATGTGTCCTGGCATGATCGGATGACAAACGTTGCATGGGAAAGACGGCCTATGATGATCAAGCTTATTAGAATTCTGTTTTCTTTGTTCGTTTTATTTTTTAATGTACACTATATACTGTATCCCTGGACAATGCACCAACAAGCTTTTATCTTGATAATAAGA